TATATTACACATGAACAACGTGAAAGAGATATTCTTGTTAAAGAAATAAATTTGTTTCAAAAAACAAATTATATATATTCTGTTCTCACTTTCTAACCAGCACATGTTTTCATTGACATTCTTCTCAATACACTTTAATAAAACTCTTTTACCTAAGTCAGGTTTATAATTTTTAAATTTTTATAGTATGCTTTTAAATGAATTGAAAACTGTTAGAAAATTGAAAATCAATCAGTTATTGATCCATAGATTAAAGGCAATCATAATCTATAGATTAATTTAACATTAGACAATATTTTCACGTACACATGTGAAAAGACTATGAAATATGGCCTGTTGATTGATATTCTATCTAATAAATCAGGTATTGTTATTAAAATCTGTGCACCAGACAAGTATTGATCAAAGAGTTGAAAATGGTTTATTATAATTTCCTCCAACCAAGATTTAACACCTTGTTTGAATATTGGTTATCTGTAGAACCAGTTATTAAGCTCACAGCCTATTAAAGCTCAAATTAAAAGGATAGCATTTAATTAAGGATAAAGCCCACACACAGCACTATAGACCGGCAATTGCAATTTGTACAGTTTACGGCTATTGAGCTTCTTCTATGGTAAAAGAAGCTAATATTGTTTTGATTGAGATAAGAACTAATTTCATCATTAGAATACATAGGACTTCCAAAAAATGGTGACAAAAGAAAGCAAAATAATTAAACTCTATTGTAAATTTTACATGTAGATTTTACCTTCTGTTCGTACTGATCAAAATTCTTCACTTGTGTCATGTTGTGATCTGGTAAGATATAATTGGCAATACAATATTGTATTCATAGCATGTATTGAAGAGAATTATAAGAAAAATTTAAATAATTCTATAGGCTATGTGAAACATTTACATTATTTCATCATTTCTAGTGAAGGGCAATATCAAATTATATGAAGATTATTTGAATATTACTCAGGTTATAGTTATTGACTGTAAGTACATGAAAACAAAAACTGACATACTTTACCAATGACATTTACTATAAGAAGGAAATAAAGATTGAACTGTATGTATTTACTGCCTGCAGCTATACTTTTACTTACTCAGTATACAGAGAGATAATAGAGTTCACGACCTTTTCTAATCTCTTTATAGTCTTTCCTGTACAGGTATTGAGGTCAAAGGTCAAGATATATTTGGATATTGATTCTGACTTCTTACTTTCCATGTGTTATTATTATTAAGCTTATTATAGTGTTATTACACAGTTGGTTTCTTGTCAATCAATGATCAGATCATCAACAGGTCAATGAACTTTCCTTCAGGGAAAACAAAATTCCTATTCAAATATACCTGCTTGAATCAAATATTTTTGTATGCCAAAGTTGTTTTTATATTTGTTTACAGCTATCTGATGCATCAATCTCCCAGTTTGTGTGACAGATTTGGAAATTGATTATAGGAATACATTCTAGCCAATGGTATTGTGATAAGATGTTGAAACATGTCTATAATGCAGTACATGTCTGATACTATTTATTCTAGTTGAGAGTATGCAATTCTTATACTTGCATATGTTTGGAACTTTTCTACTTTATGCCTGTCTATGCCTCTTGCGTACATTGTAAATGAGTATTAGGTTGGTAGCAGGAATATACTGTTGCCTTAGTTATTATTTGTCATAACCCCCAAAAGAAAAAAAACTTTCCCTAAAGATTTAATGACATGAAATATGTCCTATGACTGTGTGTTTAGCCACTATAGATGAAATAGCTCATGAATCTTTTAATATCAGTGTGAAATTTTAATTCAAAATTTTTTGTCAATAAATTGGTTCTAGAATAATTTTTGTTAAATTCTTGAAAGGGATGAATATTTTATGAAATAGAAAATTAATAAGGAATTCCAGAGCTCTGAAATGAAAGAAATATTGAACTATAGAAATTTATTAAAAAGCAATATGTCTGCGATAAATCTGCAATATTCAGCACAAATTACATCAGATAACTTGTCCTCTACTTCAGAGTTTTAACAAGAGGATTAAACTCTAGGAACTGAATAAATGCTCTTGTGGAATTCTACTGGGACAGGTGAAAAGTAGCTTGTAGAAAAAGAAGGGAAACTGAACTAGTGATATCTAAGGTTGATATTTTACCAGTTGTAGTTGGAGTGAAATTTACTGTGAGAAACACATGGTTGACACTAGGATCAATATGGAATGAAATAGCTATAGTAATGTTTAAGGTCACATGTCTCTCACTGCTATATAATCAATAATAGTATATATAGTAATGTCTCTGTAGGTTTCAGATGGCTCAGTTAAATTTGTTTTGCTTACAGCTCTATTATAGTTGACAATTTGCCAGACAAGTTTGAAAGAGATTTTCAAGTCTCTAAAATTTGTTTTACTTCCTATTTTTCTGCTTTTAACAATGGAGGGAATTTTGTCAGATCAACTGATTTAGTCTAAAAAAAAAAAAATTTTTTTTGTGAAATATCTTCAGTATGTTCAGTATTAAGCACACTTTCTGGACACTATATTGAGCAACAGACCCCTAGGGACTGTATGGCAGTCCTGTTTGACAGAAGTTTGTTAGTCTGAATAGGGCCCGTTTGACAGAAGATTGTTCGTCTCTAAATAGGGACTGTATGGCAGTCCTGTTTGACAGAATTTTGTTAGTCTGAATAGGGCCTGTTTGACAGAAGATCATTAGTCTTTAAATAGGGACTGTATCGCAGTCCTGTTTGACAGAAGTTTGTCTCCTAATAGGACTGTATGACAATCCTTTAGTCTCTCAGCAGGGACTGTATGGCAGTCCTTTAGTCTCCCAACAGGGACTGTATAACAGTCCTTTAGTCTCCCAATAGGGACAGTATGATAGTCCTGTTTGACAGAAGTTTATTAGTTTGAATAGGGCCTATTTGACAGAAGATCATTAGTCTCTAAATAGGGACTGTATGGCAGTCCTGTTTGACAGAAGATTGTTAGTCTCCCAATAGGACTGTATAACTGTTTGATATAAGTTTGTTAATCTCTGAATAGGCACTGTATGACAGTTCAATTTTCAAAAGTTTGTCAATCTGAAAAGTTTACCCAAGGCATGATTTTGACCAATGACCAAATGCAATTTAATGCAGCGCATGTGAAATCACTTTTGGCATCGTCTTAAATTTAATGGATTGATGTTTTAAGATAGAAATAGAATCAGAGTGCTATTATAAAGGTATTTTTGAATGGAAAGTCAACAAGTCAACTCAAGCAACATGAAATAAAGACTACTTATGTACAAGTTGAAGAGTTTTTTAACCTAGAAAACTGATGAACATTAATTTGTGCCATTCTTGAGAAGTAGACATATGTTATTTTTGGCACGTTTTATAAATTAGACATGTTAGATGTTCCCAATTCACATAACAGATTTGATTTCACTAGCAGGTAGAATTACACCAGTTTAGTACAAATCTACCACCTTTAAAATGGTGGGAAAATACAGAAAAACAACATCATCTACAGACCTTCACTGTACTAAAATCTTGCTTTATCTTCCTTTTGAAAATTATCTTCTATTTATACAATGATAGTCTGCAAATTTCAAATATAGAGCTTGATCATGTAAAAAAGAAAAGATTGTACATGTTAAAGGTCCACAGACAGTCTGGCTTCGAGATGACTTTACTGGTTCTGTCTTGGCATCTGTCATCTGGCATATAACAAGGATTAATCTTTGAAAATAAATCTGAATATGAATGTTTGATATTTTACTCATAGGCTCGCTCTTGTTAATATCATCGAAAAAATTTCAGGTGATATTCAAGAACCTAATTTGAAAATTCATATTTATAGTCACCTGTTATATTTTAATGGACCATCACAGAACTTAAAAATTTGCAGTGTCTTTGTCAAGCATGTTGTAGCCTCCAGTTTAGGCCTGGTATTTGTTTGATTACACCTTTGTCTTAAATTGACCTGATTACGTTTTTTAGGTACACTAGTTCGTTGTAAAAACGTTATTTCCTTTTTAGTTAATATGGATTTTTGTGCTTTGACATGTTTGTATCATGTTTTGGACCTTGGAAACCTATATATACTAGTACTATTAAAACTATAACAATTAGTATTGCCTTTGTTATGGCTACTACTGTAACTATTTTGCTGTTACAACAATTTGATTCATGTTGTATTGCTGGATCTGGAGGAAAATTTTTGTTGAAATCTACTTATTTTGTCCTGTGTCTTTTGATCACTGGACCCAAAAAAGTACTGTGCAATCTGCACACATGTATTGCACTTCTATTTGTGGAGATAATACGGCACTTGTTTTAAAATATTTTCTATTTTCTACCACACTAATTGCACACTTGACTCGCTGTGAGCCAAATTTCAGTTGGTGTATCAGAACAGAAAAGACACCTTTCCTGTGTTACAAGTTTGCTAGTATTAGTAAATGGTTAAGCCTATATTTGCTGAACTAATTAATGTTATTAAAATATCATCACCTGATAAGTTTTAAATTGGCTCCAAATTTCACTTTCATAATTCCTTCAGGTATTTTCTGAAAGTTTTCAACCTTAGATCTTATCTGTTTAGAGATAGTTTCTCTAAATTTAATAAATTTATGTTATGAAAACTGTGATATTTAAGTATATAAAAAGTAATGAAAGTTTGTACCCACTGCTGTTTTGTAGTGTTTATGAGAGAGTATAAATAGTGTGATATTATCCTGCTATCTTATAGTTTATCATGATTATATCTTATATACACAGTCATATGATTTCATATTATAGTAAGAAAAGTCTGAACTTTTATAAACGTGATAGTTGAAGTGAGCGTATTTTTTTGAATATCAAAAGAAATGCTGCGTAGATTCGATGTTCATATGAATTTATTACTATTCCAAAAATTGTATTCCCAATGATCTGATAAGCTTATATCATTAAATTCAATGATACAATAGCCTGTTTTTTTCTACCTTTTTTAATTCTGAAAATTTCTACTTATCCCACCACATATGATAATACCAGATACTGAAATATTGTTTATCTGTCCCAAACATGAGCAGGTATATCCCTAACATGAGCAAATTCATACATTCAGATATCATACATGTATTATGATATTTAGATCTATGTAAGAAGAACTCAAATCACTGCTTTTATCCTGTGCCAGTGCTTTCTGTTGAATGTTCTGTAACTTCTTACCTTTCAACCACCCTACCTTAAATGGTAACAATCTTTAACAATATTCTTTTTGTGTCTTTTCAGGTACTTGTAGAGTTCGATGATTGTGACTGGCATAAACGTGAATGGGTAAAAGTTCATGAAGTTTTTCAAATATTTTGGGTGGAACATACGTTAGTGTGGGCTTATAGAGCTGATCCTAATAAAAATCAGTCTGAAGTGCTTTGGCCAGGATTGGTAAGCTTCTTTTATTATAAATACCTCATCCCTAAATTGAGATTGTTGCTGAACAAATTTCACCTTACTGTCAGACAGCTCAAATGTTTAGTTCACATGATATGACAAAAAACTTTGAAAAAAGTAAAAAGGTTCAAAAGTTCAAAAATTGAGCTATGGGCAAATGATTGTAAAAACTGAATGTAGTCCAGTTGGCATGGTAGAGAAAATATTATATATTACCAATATAGGATTATATGAAACAATCATAAATCAGAAGATTTTAATATTGACCAGTTAGGTCTTTCAGCGCAACTCTTTTACTTTACATATCAAATTTAAGCGATATATTTAGTAGATTTGTATTTTTTGAAAGAAAATTTCCAATACAGCATTTGCGGTCATAGGTTGTTCCTGACAAATATTATTTAACTAATAAGATAATGAAACCAATATATAGCCTGTTCTATTTATTTCTCAAAAAGTCAGTCAGATGTCACTGGTAAAGAAGAGATAACAACTAGAACATTATGATAGATTTATCTAAATCTGAATATCTAAATATTGTCTATTTTAAATTGCTGGTTATTGACCTGAATATGCCAATTCCAGACAAGCCACAGTTTCTATTTAAATTTATTTTCAATCTTATTAGACTATATCAAGGCTATTTTAAATTTACATAAATCAACAATAACTGCTTGGAAATTAGACTGGCATCAAGACTATTAAATTTCCAGATTATCTTGAAAAAAAAACTGGGAAATCAAGCCGAGATTTTCTTTGAATAAAACCAGGCCAAAGTTAATTATAGATATATAATCCCTACAGAGAGAGAACAAAGTTGATGAACTTCAGCTAGTCCCTATAGAAATATTATAAGAGGAAATTTGAGTGAAAAGTTGAGGAAGTCAGACTATTAGAGAAAAGGTGAATAAGAGGCAGTATTGATCGTAGGGTAACATCCTGTGTCTCTAATGATTATTGATTAGATTTCAAAACCTTCCTGCTGTCTCCTTCTCTCATAATAATGTGCATCTCATTTTATGATTTCACAATTTCTGCAAAATGTCTGAGCCAGACAGTGTTCTTTAGTAATATTTCTGTGTTTACCATTTAAAACCATTAAAGATTTATAATGATGACACAGAATAACTTATCCAACATATTATTATTTGAAAATGATAAGAAATTTGTCTTGTGCTTAGTCATAAGTAAAATAAAGGGTATTGGAATTAGATCCTTGAACCACTGCATCATATTTATTCATCTATTATTATTTACTAGCCAATGCTCATTGTTAAAAACTGGTTAACTGAAATAATCTGATAAACGATCCAGTTTCAGCCAGGTTTTTTTTTTTGCAAACTAAATTGGATCAAGGGTCATATTTGAATGCTTGAATTCAAGATTCTCCACCATCTCACAACGTAATGACCCTTCAATTACTACCTTGATGGTATTAATTTCCATACTGTCAGGTGCATGTCCATGTTATACTGCATATTAACTCAATATTGAATATCATTTTATCGAGTTTTTTGAAATTTATGATGTCAAACTCCATTCAGTTCATTTCGTTTGAAATTTATGACTATAGGAGTGTGTATTGAAGTGCTCAAAAGGGTAAGCATGCCCAATTTGGTTTGCTTATCAGATTTTAAAAGTGAAAGAAGACCATTTCTGAAAAAATCGTATGATATATTTCTTGTTGTAAGTGTGATATTTCTCAGTGTAAAATTACTTACTTCTTACAATTTTTCATTGAAAAATCTTTTGACAAATGGGTGTCAGAAGCTAGTAGCTAAATATGTTGATAGAGTAAGATTGAAGATAGTAATCAATCACTGGTTTCTGTTCAAAGGTCACTACTGACCAGTCCAGTCCAGCTTTTCATTAAATCTTATCATATGTTGAAGATATGGATGGTGATTGACTGTTGTCTATTGGCTAACCTAAAGATTCACAATACGTCAATTTGCAACCTAATTTTCTCTGTCTGTGATGCAAGTTGGACAAGATAACAGGAAAGGAATTTACGTATAAACTAAAAAACTGTCTGAAGCAAACTGTGATGGTTAAAAAAAAACAAAGAAACATTTATACATTGAAAGGTACTTGGGAAAGTTGGCACAAAAAAAAATCCCTAGGCAACTAAATTACTAAGGGACTTGGCACAATTGAAGATCCTCAGACAGCTAACTTAATAGGGGACTAACTGGCAAAAAAAAAAATCCCTAGACAACTGAAATACTGTCTGAAAATCCCCAGACAGCAAGATTCCTTAGGCACTAGGCAAATCCACACACAAATAAAGATCCCTACACAACTAAATTTCTAAATTACTAGGCAAACGGACACATACTGATTATCAAGTACATCAAAAGGTACAGAACAGTATTGGAAGGCTGTAGAAGTCATATTTTATTTACTATAATTTGTCTTGCTTAGAACAGGAGAAACTTGCACTACATTTTGTTCAATTGACAATTGTCTGTGTTCTATTTTTCTTGTAATGTTAAACTAATTTAATACAGATATTATTGTGATTATTTTTTTAGTTAACATCATGCTAGAGACTGATTGTAATACCATGACTATATAATTGATATCTATTTTTTATATAAAGTAATTAAATTTCAATTACTTTCTGTAATTGGATCACTCGTGCCAGAAAAATATGTTCAAAAATATTTATACTCAAGTTATTGGTTGTTAAATAAAACGTCTGTTAACTTTTTCAAAAAACTTGATGAAATCATCTCTAAAAATAAATTAGGCTAAGGATCGAATTAGTCTACCATTGTGGAATATGTTTTCAAGAAAAATATAGGTCACAGTGGTTGAAAGAACTGTCAGAATGTCTGCATGAAATATGAGCTTAGCTCTAGTCGTGACCCCTCTTTTTATTGGCTGCTTGTATAGATAATGATTAGATAGGGACTATCTCACAATAACTATTTGTTGTCGAATCATATGGAATTGAGGAGAAAAGTTATTTATTTATTATCAGACTGTATGATTTACTTTTTATGATTTGTATCATTTACTGGTTGTTTTTTTTTTCCAGGAGATATTTGAAATATTTTTCTTTCTTAAAGATTTATGCCTGAAAATTTTTTTTCTTTTTCGACCACAAGTTCTTCTGCACTTTATCATATGTTACTTTTTACTCAGAAATCTTGTCTTTTATAATGGTTTAGAAAATCAACTGATATTTTAACACTTGTTCTTACGATTTTAATAAATAAAGACAGAATAAAAGTCTTACTTTATTTCTGCACATTATTAGGCTGATGATGATGATCTGCGTTAGATTAGTTGAGAAATTAGTTGTGTTCTATTATGGTGGAAAAAAAGACTTCTTCAAATATCAGCTAATTTTTGTTGGAAAAATAAAATTGGCCTTTATGAAGACAGTCTGCTTAAGAATTGTTGAAAAATGTTTTATATAATAGTAAAAAAAAAACAACCACCACATCACATTTGTTAATTTTTCTTGGAAAAAAAAATTGCCTTTAAAATCTTAAAATTACTTCTTTGAGAGGAACCAGATTTCTGTCTGAAGATGATTGGATTCACTTTGAATACCTAGTGAAAATCCATTATTTTGGCTGATAAAACAGTCTGAAAGTACGTCTTGTAGCTTTTTACTAGCTTGATAAAAAGATACGTTAATTTAATAGTCTAATGAATATCATTCATCACTGTCTCTTTTTCTACAACTTGAAGCAGATAATAAGACACAAAAATAATGGTTCCATATAATGTCACATCAATATCACATTATTTTCTCTCAGATGACAGCTTTTTACTATTTCTGAAAGTAGAGTAATACATAAAGAAAATCTTCTGCATTTATAGAAGCAGATGTGTTTATTTAAAGGGCAGATCCCAGCTAGAAAAGGTAGAAAACAGTAGACTGTATAGCAATCACTTTACTACTAGTTAGTTACTGAAATTGTATTCACAATAATAAACACCTTCATGTCTTGTCAGTTCATTTCATTTAGCTTACGACCTACAGATTTTATCAACCAGGTCTTACTGCTTTTGATGCAGGTTTGTGGGGCAATCGTGTCTTTGGTGGCCATTGTTTGACAATAACCTTGCATGCAGACGAAAGAAAATCTTATTTAATTGTTAGGCGGAAGTTACCTCCACATTACAAAATATAGTTCGCTAGTTATCTCCTGTGAAGACTTTATCTTGTAGACAGGAGACGTCTGGGTGTCAGAGACTAGTCAGATGTCAACAATGGAGGACGAAAAGTAGTTCAATTTATCTGCCAGCTGCATACAAGGCTATTGTCAGGCGTAGCGAGAATGGCCGCCGTAGACACGATTGGCTTGTGAGGCTGACATGGAAAATGTGCCTATTTTGTATGGGACAATATACAGGGGCTCTGTGTATGTTAAAAATACCCAGGCAGTGTTAAATCTTTAAAGAGAAGTCTTTTATCACTGTCCTATCACAATTTCACTCATTACACATTTAATGGCATTGTCTGCTTCATCAGGTCATGCAGGAAATTGAAAGTAAAACATAAATCCCCATTTCATTTCTGCTTAATGAAAACTTCATAAGAATCCAGTTAAAATGTTGCTCCAAAGGATCAGTATTTTACATTGTCTGCTGAAGGATTATTTCATTTCTGATGTGTTCATCATGATGTTTTAAATCCTAGATTAACATGTACACCAAGATTACTATACATATTTAAACATTATCATTATTTTTAGCTAAAGTATTTTTAAGTAGTCTTGAGCATTGTCATTGAACACATAGCAAATGATATACCATATTCAATCTAATTGTAGCCCCTTCATTCCTTATCCTGATTTGAAATCTTCTTGAAATATTATTATAAGAGAGAGTTGAAGATTGATATGTTAAGGGGCACTTAATTTAGTCAGCGAAACAACATGCAAAATTTCATTTGATATTACTTGATGCAATGCGTGTTTTGAAGTTGATCATCATTCAATTTGATATTCTTAGCTAAAGTATTTGGGCATTGCAATAGAACATATTGAAAAGTGCCCCTTCCCTATTGATAATGAAATGCTCCGTGGTGTCCATTAGATTGAATACGGTATAAAACATGTAGAGATGTTTAAATAGGACCTGAAATATATTCGAGTACATTTAGTGTAAATAATACCTTATTCTGATTTGAAATGAGAAAAGTTATTATAAGAGAGTTTAAGATTTAAGATTTTAAAAGGTACTTGATTTAGTCAGCAAAACAACATGCAAATTTTCATTAGATATTACTTAAAGATAAAGCAGAATTTCAATTGTAAAACTGTACAGGAAATTTACATACGAACAGTCTTAATATTGAGTTCTCTCCCTTTACCTTGAATTTACTCTCTATCTGTGTTTGTTAGTTGAGATATTATGAACATTGTCACACACTGAAGATAAAAATATCACAAATATAGTTACCATAGTAACTTGACAGTTATATTTCACTTTTATTGAAACTACTTGGAGTAGAAAATAGAAAATCTTAAGAAGCCCACATAAAGAAGTTTTTAATTTTGATGTATTATTATTTTATTGCAGTCTTTTAAGCCATTAGTGGATAAAGCTAGTTTAGGCAACAGTAAGAGGAAACCAGTGGAGTTTTTTCTTGATCGATACCTAGGATTAGTGGAGGAAAAGGATTTTTCTATTTATCAGGTAAATGGCTTTTATTCTCTTTCTTTTTAATTTCTAAACAGAGAGACTCATTTCGTGACAATTTCTTTTAGAGACAATAATGTGGTAATTCAGGAATCTCTTGAGATCGAAAGTAATACAAAAATTCTTCTTCATGTCCTACAGAACATATTATATACCTTACCAGAGCACCAGAGTCATTTGCTCTCCTGGATTTGAATTATTATTGTATATTTATGGCATGGAAAGGATTTGCATAGATTTAATAGGGTTTATAATTTGTCTAACTAGTTTGATGTAAAAGCATATGGTCATGGATATTGGTGGTTTGGCCAAAAATTTGAACTTTCAAAAGACTTAAAAGAACTGATTGTAATTAAGGGAAGTGTACTTTATCAAGCACCTGTAGGTCATACTGTTCTTTTAGATATTGTGCTGATGTATATGTTGAAAAAAACATTTATCAAAAAGTTTATGTTATAATGCACTTTAAAACAACCTGCTGCAAGCATTAAAGGTTTTTAAAACTTGTTAAATAATCTAGATATGCAGGTGTTGAATTTTATGCCAAAATGATTGAATTATTTATGTTTTAATATCAGAAGAGAAAAAGAAGATTAATTTTTTGTGTATTCAAATGTAAATGATACCTTTATTATACTGATAATAATGTAACTGTTACTCACATTGTCTTCAGTTTGAAAAGGCTATTCATATTGTCTCAATTTGAAAACGCTATTCAGAATGAAAATATGACATTAATATTAGGATTAAAACTGTTTTAAAATACTTTTCTTCATACTAGAATTAGAAATATTAAAACTGGATACTGTGTTATCAGATCAGGTGAATTGACACTCAGTTACAGCTGGTCTTCTATATCAACAGTAATAAGGGATTAAACTCCATTTATTTATTGGCTTAAACTGGTATCTGTTGTTTATGACAGCTTCAGTTGGTTTGGGATGATATATTTTATATTCTATTTTTATGCATCTGATAGAGCTAATGAATAAATGCAGTGACCTGTAATGTGTAATGTATACAAGTGATTACTGATTAGAAAAATAATGAATAATCTTGATAAAATAATGTATATTTAGATTATCTAATACATATTTGAAAATTTTGAAAATCTGAAATAAATCAGGCTTAAAACTACAATCAAGAAGTATAATTATGAGTTAATTTGAACAAGAAAAGTCCCCAGTAGCCAATTCTTCTTCCTTGGAGAGGATTTCTGTTAGTAAGCTTACTAAAGCTCTAACTTGCTAAAATTGTTGTTGACAAAATTATTCCATGAAGCCTGTCAAGTTGATATTTTATTCACAATATTCTGCTCTTGTCTTGTTAGGATTGATTTGATTAAAGAAACTCCTTGTGCTTCAGTCTGAGAATAAGTTATTTATTCTGACTTCGTAATGAAAGTAGTGGTTGGTGAAAAATGCCTTGATTACCGTAAGCGTACATCAAAGCTCAATAAAGTAAAGAAGACTTGGCAGAAATTGGTCAATTAAGTACAAGTTATAATGGTGGTGACATCAAAAGGTACATCAACAAATATAGATTGCACTATTTACTGCTGAGCACTGAATGTGTCCGCTTTAACAGCAAAAGAGAATTATGTATCAGCGTTGGATACTCAACCATTGTCTGGTTAATTAATACATGAGGAGGTATGCTGTAATTGGCTAGAGCTCATCTCATCAGACTCATGTTGGAGACACATATTTTGGATGCATAAACGTCATCAGCTAGTTTTGGAAATAGTAGTTTACTTTCTATTATTTGATGCCAACGAGCAAAATTAGTGAGTGACAACAGAGTGACAATCATGTCTGATTAATTGCAAGATCTGATTGAACAATAAAATAATTTGAGATGATACCATACATGTACTAGTAACATAAATTATAAAGTTAAGTTCTCTTGATATTTAATGGTATTTATATGCTAATCACAGCCACCGTGAATATCTCTATTGTCTGTTGGGGCGAAACTTCATTACATCAGAATCCATTATTTTCATTCAGAAAAAGCCTTCTCTTTGATTTAAATTCTGTTTACTGTGAATTCCTGACACTTTGATGAATGTTGATTTTCTAACTGTTATTAACATTGGAAAGTTAAAAGGATTCTTAATGCACAAAAAGATATTGTCAAGTTAGTCCAATTTACTTTTCAGAAACAGAATTTCTATATTCTAAATTCTATTGTCTGGTTTCATGACTTGTAATAATTGTTGTGAAGTTTTTTATTATCAGACTAACTAATAAAGATATGAATATGGCTGAATGATTGCACAATTCTATTTTCTACTTATGACTTTTTCTAAAACTCAAAAACTGCTGTTAAAGTTGTTTTGTATGGGACATGACATCAAATATGGGTTTTGAAGAATGGTTAAAATATAACTTTTTGTTTAGTCTCTTTAAGTTCGTTGTGAATGTTGGTGGGTAAGGCTTTTTTCATTTGATATAAATCAAATCTTGGAGATATTCTATTGTGAATGTTGGTGAAAAACCGTCAGCTTGCTTTCATTTGATTTAAATCAAGTTTTGATGTTATTTATTGGAGGTTGTATATATCTAGATTGTCAGTAATCTCTTTCCTATGGAGAACAAAATGTCTCGATGTCAGACTAGTTTTTTATCTCGGTACGGATGTACCTAGTCTTGAATTCAGTATAAAACTGGTGCTGATGTACTCAGCTGACTCAGCAACTATATTTTTTATTAGAGCAAACTTGCCAAACCACCATTTTTACACAGGGTTACAATCTGTATTCACTTGTACTGTCGTTTACTTACTTACAAATTTTTAACATTAACATTTTGTTAACTTTAATACAAGACAAAAAATTAAGGCAGTGCTTGTGATTGTTAGTTTTGTGCTCCACTTTCTTTGCTACTTTAGCAATATTGAAACAAAGAAACTGAAGATTTTTTTTGCTCTGAAATGGGGAATGATAGAATAAATAAATATTATTGAAAGATAATATGTTTTGTGTTGACCAATCGTTTATGTGTAATTCATTTGCTCCGTTATCTTATCTATTTCCGGTACGTTGTATCATCGTTTAACTTCAACCCGCCATTGCAAACTCGGTTGAAGTTGCGGTTGACAAAATAAATATATGTTTTTTATTGTGGAATAACGTGTGTCAGCTTAGAATTTTACTTCAGATAAGTAAATTATCATCTTAGGTATATTTTGCCGTGCTTTGTTAGTCGATGGTACCTTTCGATGGCTGGATATTTGTTTGATGCTTTTAGGTTTTTTTTAGCGGGTTTCATGATCAATATAATGAAATAAATAAATTTGTCTGTTTAAGCTTTTTTGTCTCAGTTGTCTGTACATAGTTTAATAAAGCTCTATGCTATCACCATTGGATATAGACAAGACATATTGATCAAACAACCAACAATTGATATTGTAAATTGGCAGGAAATGAGATGGATTTTATCTTCTGATTTCATTCAAATGAGATTTGAAGTCTGGTAATTGAGTTTTCTTTCATTTTCTTGGTGAAGTAGAATACATTGTTCTTATTATCTGGCTAGGAAAGAGTTTACCATGATGATAATAAATGTTTTCATTGTTAAAATACAGTTCAAGGCTTTAATGACAGAAATGAAATGAAATGGAGTTTTACGTCTGACTGTTGTGCACCTAATTGAGCTAATGAAGATGGCCAACGCCATGCGGTGTACAATCAGTGAAATTTTGCTAGCCTACTCTTTTTCAATTTCCAACTGTCAAGGAATCTTTAACGTGCACAGCCTATAGCATATTGGGCCTTGGTTTTTTGTTTCATCCAAACGACTAGACTCCTCTTCCATGTGAGGTCTCTCTGACCTGTCTTAGTAACTGGGGAAATTCTAGTCGAAAAATCTGTTGAAATTATCATCTTGAACCTTCAGGTTAGGAAGCAAATGTCTTACTCACTTGATAGTGAGAGTGATATGTAGATTATGTCAATTATCAAATGGAGATTAACACTGTAGAGTTTGACACTGTAGGATTAGAACTGTGTATCTGTCCCTATTGCATCCTGTCATATTGTACTTGATGATGTTGACATAAGTTTATCCATTGTTTCAATCATATTTGAATGTTTTATTATGAAAGAAGTTTTTATTATTATTTTCTGTATGCTCATGTTAGTACTAGAACACCTTTCCCTTGAATCTGCTCCATTATAAATATATTCAAGTTAAACTAGTGTAGTTGGTTTTAATTATAAACTCAAAATGGGCGATATTTACGAATAACTATTTTTAAATAAAATGAAGAGAAATTTATTATAACAAGTTGATAAGAATGTAGATAAACCACAGATGTTGTTATTTATTGAGTTGAATTTTTAATATATTTATTGAACTGTACATTGATATATTATATTAAATAAAGTATGTTAAATATCGGTTTCAGATAATTTCTGAATAACATCACTCACTCATATATATTGGTGACAGAAGGTGGTTATTACACTTCACTGACCTATTCATTCTCAATAGTTTTCAACCAATATACATATTAAAATTTCATTCAATCAATAGAGTATTATTATCACATAAGACCCTTTGCGATTAATGACAACATCAAACACTTATTTGTAGTGGAATTACCACCCACAGTTGTCTGATTTAAAATTGGTATGGTGCAAATTGATGCTATTAAACATGCTATTATTCACACAAAAACATTTAAGGAAACCTCTTTGCAATCCCTTTGACAAGCATTAATACAATGAAATCTTTAAATGGCAATTGTAAGTAAAATAGGTATTAATACAACCTGAAAACTTGCACTTTAATCAGTGATTTTTATTCCATAAAGCTGTGTCTATATATATCATTAATACAATGCATGTCAGAATGAAAAGTTCAAATGTAATCAAAAAGACATTAAAATTCCATTTGTACGATGAAACTTAGCATTATAAGGTATTGTAGCCCTGAAATTCTTAACTTTTATTATACGCCCACATGAAATGGGCGTCCGTAAACACTCTACAAGACACAATTCTTGACGGATTTTGACAAAACGTGGTGTGAATGTTTGTAATCACCCAAGGATAAACCCTATTGAAAATCAGAAGAATCAAAAAATATATAGTATAGTTATTGCCCTTGTTCTTGAAAACGTGTTCAATTTCTAACTTGTAAACATTCTAGAAGGCTCAATTATTGACAGATTATAACGAAACTTGGTGAAATTGTTTATTATCACCCATGGATGAACTCTATTGAAAATAAAAAAAAATCGAAATATGTTTCATAGGAGTTATTGACCTCATACTTGAAATTTTAGCTCTTAAACACTAAAAGGCATGATTCTTGCTGGATTTTGACAAAACTTGGTTTTATTATTCAGTACCGAGCTGAAGATTCAATATGGGCAATAACTCATACTCAATATTATTAAGAGTTCAAAAGAAGTGTATGACTGAAGGTTGAATATTTCATACTGGTGATTGT